AGCAAGCAGTTGGCGACCACGTCACACTATCAGCTCCCGATTGTTGTATCGATTGTGCCTTCACTTGCTGACAGTCCAAAGTGTATGCTTTGCCGTTTTGTGTTATATGTGCCAAAGCACAATCCTTGATCCAAATGGTACATGAAGCACGTCTGAATCCATACTTTATCCACTTTTTTGTAAGCTTCTTCAGCTGACAGTAACGTTCTGTCATGTCCGGGGTTAAGCAACATCTCCATCATGGATATACTTCTTCCGTACAAGCCGGTAAACGCCTAGTGCCCTGCCGTCTACTATCGTTCTCTCAATTGTTAGCTTTAGTAGCTTTAGATGCTTAAGACCGACCGAGTCGCTCTGGAGAGGAATCATGTGCGACGTCGCGCCACTGTCGATAAGCCAACCGGTAGATCGTCCCTCACCCACAGCAAATATTGAATCGCTTCCGCTGATACGGTTTCTCAAAAGTCTTTCAGCCGGCTAATTTCACTTCATGTGGTCTATCTAGTCACAGTTGAAGCTCTTTTCCTTAAACCCGCTGCCCTTTTGCGGCGCGTAGCTCTTGTGACCGTTACTCCGTATGCCCCAGAGATATCGGTTGTCAGAAGTAATGCGAAACGCTTTTTCAGTAGCTTTCTCATTCTGTAATTTCTCCGTTCCTTTCAATATCTTTGTCTTGATTTTGATCAGTATGATAACCTTTGTTTTATTCACGATAGCAAAAATCAGCTAATACTCCAATGGAAAGCTGTTCAGAAGTAACAACAGCAGTCTTGACTCAGCCACAGTCTCTCCCGTCGTCCGGAAATTATGGAGGTGGTTGCCGTGACACGGTTGCGCAAAGTAGAGAAATTTAGTTACGGAAAAACGTCGCACATATCTCCGCAGAATATGGCTTTCAACTTATATACCTTGGACGCTTGCAATGCTCAACGACATGGGACATGTACAAGTGGGAGGTACACAAATATGGCAAGACAACCAAGGGGCTATAGCTTTAGTGACAACGCAGGATACTACGCTCGTACATAGCACGTGGACATCAGGCACCACTTCAATCCGAAGAACAGCTATCATGAATTACTGGTATCTACTTCATCAATACGATGGATAAATCGCAGATATTCTGACGAAGGTATACGCTCCCAAGATGCTCAAGTTTCTGCGCTAGGCAACGGATATCAAGAAAGTCAGCGACAACCACGTTCAGTATAATACATGAGTGGGGGTGTTGAGATTACACCGATGAGTGAATGCGTGTGGATGACGTCATAATTATGGTAACGTTAACAGTTACTGCAATGTAATGGATACTGAATTTAGACATCTTTCATAGGTCTAGATAACTCAGGTTTCAAACTATAGGTTGAGGGGTGTTAAAGAGTAGGTATCAGGAACCTTGTATGACATATCCACTTCGGCTTCTGCAAACTTCTCCTTTGAAGCAACATTTACATACGCTGTACAAAGAAGAGATATTACATTATTTTTTGGCAAGTATTTTTGGCTTAAGTGAATAGCGCAGAGGTGAAACGAGGGCAGTTTAGCGATAATTAACTTATGAAACTCATACAACATCATCGTCCGCATCTTGAAATGTAAAGACTCAGGTAAATTGACGCGAATTTCCAGGAAGAATGATACAGGAAGCAGCTGTAGCTAAAAAAACAAATGCACGATCCATACTACCATAAAAAGAGATATAAATTGAAAAGAATTGTTGGTTTGTTGGTAGAATCTGAAGTGAATATAGTAAGGTCTTTGTTTGCAACCTTGTGCTACATCAAAGCCTATCCAATAGATCATTCTAGCAGCTTCTACAAACCTTTTTATTTATCTAGACCAATTTGTGACTACCATTATGTCCGTAATCAAAATTCGTAATCTCGTTAGTAACTGTAAACATTACAGTAATACTTGTGACGTCATCCACGCACATTTGGCGGTGTATCTCAATACGCCTAATCACCACTAATGTTGAGTTTGCTTTGATCTTTGCTTCTGGATGCCTGTCTTTTAGCTTAAAATTTTGAGCGTCTCGGTCTCGAGTGCCATGGTAAGCATGCCCGCGAGCTGATTCTTTGTGTCGACTTAGTCGATTTGGAACGTACTGTATACAACGTTTCTTGCTCAAAATTGATGCTTGACATCAACATGCTTACTTCTGGCATGATATTCCGCATTCTGGGCTAGTGCTACTGCCCCCTGGTTGTCCTCCCAGACTTGCGTTGCATGATTCTGGTCTTTAATCATGTTCTTCAGCATCACACGTGTCCTCAAAACTTTCTGGATGCACATGCTGAGTGCCATGTGCTCTGCTTCTGCTGAACGCAGTGTCACAGTTTCTAAAATTTTGACTTGAATTCCACCGGTCCGCTACAAATTGACCATCACGCCAGATACAGATCACCTGTCATCGATGTTGCTTCTCCAGTCTGCGTCTCCGAAATGCTATAACCATAACGTAGCTAGTCCCTCCTTCATATACAATTCCATACAGACACGTTGACGTCAAGTATCTTAGCACACAAATTGCGGCTCGCCAATGCTGTATTTCAGGATTCTCGAGAAATCTTAACAGTTGCGTAACTACGTAGGCAATGCACGGTCTACTACAGGTTGCTATGTATATGAGACATCCGATGAGAGAGCGATATGGCTTTGACTGCATTTCAGTAGCTTCTGCATCTGCTCCTGGCGATTGTTCTCTGGAAAGCTTGAGATTGGAGGCACATGATTTATTGGTCTTCTTGGCGTTCTGCCGACTGAATCGTTGCGTAACATAGTCAATGTAACGCGTTTGTTTGAACATACGCGTCCCGACTCTCTTATCGTGATCAATATCCATCCACAAGATAAAGTTTGCGTCACCAAGCACCTTCGTTTCGAAAGCACTCCTGAGAACATCTTTGACTTCAGGAATTCCTGCGCGGGTCTTGGCTGCAATCATCATATCGTCCACGTTGAGGCAAACGTAAATATACCCGCTCTTAAGAGCTTTACATACACATTGCTTAGAAGTTACATGCATCCTTCGACAAAATGCTTCGTGTCAGAAAAATAATATCCTTCATTAAAGAAATTGATATTCTTGCGCTTAAGCCGGAAAATACTTTTTTGCTGTATGCCTTATACCAGCGTCTTCCTGTCTTTTTCTTCTTGTAGTTCCATTAATGCTGTATGTTGTTGTGAATCTCGTGGATACCGTTCTCTTCAATTTATAACTCCTTTTGTGGTAGTATGGATCGTGCATTTGTTTTTGTTAGCTACAGCGGCTTCCTGTGTCACTCGTCCTGGAAATCCGCGTCAATCTGAGTCTTCAAATGTAAAAAAACTGATGATGAGATTATATGAGTTTTATGAGCTGATTCTCTCTAACCTTTCTTCGTTCTAGCATGTGCGCTATTCGCTTAAACCAAAAATACTTGTCAAAGTCAAATATTTGTGATTTTCTCTCTTCCTTTGAAGAAGTATCACTTTGTAAATAATAGTACTTTTTCAATTATAGGCAAAATTAATAATTGAGACCCGTAGACAGTTGCCATCTTCCGACCTGATCGAATTTATTCAGAATGCATTTGCGATGCGGCAAAATCAAGAAAACCTTCAGTGAGAAGCTGCTTTCTCTTTATTTGTCGCAATTGCTTTTATCATTAGTAGCATTATTTTCCCTTTTTTCAAGCTACATTTGGTTCATAACTCTATTGATAGTTCATCGTCTTTAAAAAAACGTTTTTGACGCTGACACTTCTACGCAGTTTCACGAATCACTTGTTGTGCTATCTGCTTCCAGCTTTGGGCGTGCGAAAACTTGTAATGCAAGAGGTAGCTAAAGCCACGTAACAGTAGCGAACATCGAAAAGCCATGACATACTCGTCTGGAATATACTCGATACGGTCAATCCTACACAATCAAGCACAAAAATTTACTAAAATTGGAAGTATCAAACAGGTGATAGCTTACATACGTGTGCAATCGTTCAAGAAAAAGCTGGGGATTCATGCCTTCTGTCACAGTTCGATCGTCATTATCAATCATCAAACGGGCTTGTTTCTCTAAAAAGTATGGATCCATATTTGCTGTTTTGATCCGCATATCGTTCGTCATGACTGCAATGATTTCATCACGTGACCCCTCTGCAAGTGCTACAATCAGCTTTGCCAGACAGACTCGGTGCTCTTCTGAAATGTGCTTCACTTGGCCATAATCAATGAGACCAAGGCGACCATCTTCAAGCAGAAGAATATTTCCCGGATGTGGATCGCCATTAAACGATCCATTCACGAATATCTCATATCCGTGAACGTCCATGATCAGTTTCAGGATTGCAGGAAGATTCAATACTCGATGCTTTTCGTCTTCACTTAATGCCCAATGTTTTGGAGCCACAAATCCTAAAGTGTAGTCGTACGACACACGTGCCACGCGTCGGACTAGATGCTTTGCTCCAAGTGTCCACCCGTAAAGCCGTAGCTTCAACGAAGAGGGACCACTTTCAATATCTAGACCCAGGGCCTCTCGCTCCTTGTCCTTTCGTTCCTGCTCTTGCTTCAAAGCTTCTACTGTGACTCCTTTCCCCGCTGCAATCGCTTCAAAGTGATCTTGGATACCATCTAGTAGCTTGCGTCCCTTAAGAAATTCCATAACCAACACTTCCTTGGTACACATCTCGATCTTTGGTTCGGGAATCGCCACCTTTGCGGCATACGGACTCTTGGCAATATTTTTCCGTACCGTGTCTAGATTCCTGGCTTCTTCTACATAATTAAATTCAGTCATGAATTGCTTTTCCACTTCGACAAGAAATGGTAGATGTGCTGGTTGAAAATATCGACAAAAATCCTGAATCGTTTTAATATCCCAGCGAAAAAACGTTTCGGCGTCCGGATGCTGCACCTTTACCGCGACTTCTTGGCCATCAAGCAACACTGCTCGATGGGCTTGACCGATCGATGCAGCTCCTAGTGGCTGACAGTCGATCGACTGAAACAACTGATCTACGGGTTTTCCGTAACTTTGCTCGATAATTGTACAAATTTCTTCCAGAGACTTGGACGGCGCGTCGTTTTGAAGCTTGGCAGCTCGATCTAAATACTGCTTTGGTAGCACGTCGGGCCTCGTCGAGCCAGTTTGAGCTAGTTTGACGTAAAATCCTTTAAGTTCCAACACAATCTCGAACACCTCAGGTGCGTACTTTTCGTGCAATTTTTCGTACTCGGCATCTTTTTCCTCATTCGATAGTTGGGCACGTTCCATATACAACTGTGCTGCTCGATAGTGCAAGTAAATAGGAAAAGCCTTACGCCAGAAGTAAAGTGAGCGTCTAAAACCTTCATCCGAATGTGCTGCATAAGTCATACCGCCGGCACCCATGGCTGTCGAGCCCAATAACAGCCGAGCGCCATTGCGGAATACTAACTGCCACATAACCTATGATAAGAGTTTAAAGAGTACTGATTCAGTAGTGTATAGAGCATATTATAATTGGTATAGAAATTACTAATAAAAATAGTACCAAGATCATGTCTTAATACTCCACAAATGTAGTAAAAGTATAGTGTAGCACAGCGGTGTCAATTTCTCAACAAAACCCACACGTTCGCAGTTCCACATCGTAACGGGATTGCACATACCCTGGTATGAAGATGGTCACACAAGATGGTGTGAGCATACAAGGGTATGGTTTACAAAAGACGGTGTAATCACACAATGGTGTGGCTACACCGTAACAAGAAAGCACCATGTGGCGGGAAAGCCAGTAGTCATGCATTTTAGTAAGGTTTTACTATTTGATAGGAAAAACCATAGATTAAAATATAGGCGGCTTTGCCGCAAATAAATCAAGAAATCGCCTACATTTTTGCCTTGGGTTATGGTTATGATTACTCTTAAAGTAAGCGGATTGCGATCCGTTACAATCGTACTGAATCTAAGTATAGAATGAAGGTCACCGACCTTAGCTTAGCTTCCTCTAAGCAAAAAAGCTACGGCAACCCCGCTGCACTTGGTAGCACTTGTGGTCAATCTACACCTGAGTCGTTACGACTGATCCTCCATGAGGATGGAGCAATTCTCCTATTTGCCATGCAGGACGAGCTTAATCAGCTGATGTCTCTGCTTTACCCTGAGGGCGTGTAACACCTCCCTTCGCAAGGACCCGAAGCGATTTGCGCGGGCCTAAAGGCATTTTCGAGCTATAAGGTGCTAGAGCACCTAGAGAAGAAGCGTTAAAAACTTCAAGTATAAGGATGAGGAGAGTATCCTGCTCTGGGTGAGAGAAGTCGAGATGGCTATGGCATCCGCCATCTCCAGAACGAGCAGCAGCGCGTGGCGCTAGCTATCCCCAAGCTCAGGGGGGCTTGGACAAAGTCCATCAATTCCTACTTGCCCTGTCCGGCGGCAAGGAAACGTGAATACACGCGATATGCCTGGTTTAGCAGCGAGAACACTCGCAAAAGCTGCAGATTCAGCTCCGTCCGGACGGCAAACACCGATCCAACCAAAGTACCGCCCGTCAGTGCCCATTCTCGCGCTCGAGTTGCAAACTCTAGTTGCCGGGACGGCAGCCAATCCTTCCTCCGAGGCGATAACAGTGACCGACTTTTTGGAGGGCTTCCGCACTGGCGTGGCTAAAACGAAAGTCTACCGAGTGCATCCGTCTTTATTTGAAGAAACAGTGAAGGCAGCTTTAAATGCCAGATTCAACTTCAAGTTGGTTGGAATGCACACCTTCAGAGCTCGTCGAGTGAGCCTGAGTCAATGGATTACAGTTATGCTGGGAAAGAGGAGGGGGAGCCCCGAGCTGCCGGGCAGCGATCGAACACCCGACGGTAGAGACACCCGTCAAGTTGTCTCCTGCGCAAGGCGCGTCAACATTCATCGAACCGACGTCCCGCTTCTCACCAGTCTGGTTTGTTGCGAAGAACCCATGGGCGCTGGGCGCCCTACTGGGGAAGAAGTGAGTTCTGTTGAGCCTCAAAGAGGTGGAGGGAAGCAGGTCCCAGCCTTAAAGAGCTCTGTGCTTTTGGACACCGAACTTGCTGGTCGTAAAAGCAAGCGTGTAGGACTTTAAAAAGCCATGTTAAACCCGGATCGATTCTGGGGCGTCGAGCACAATTGCCCGATGCTCCACGATCGAGCATAATTGCTCGACGCTCGACGATCGAGCATAATTGCCCGACGCTCGACGATCGAGAGAAGTCAGCTGTATGCTGAGGTGCTGAAAGCGCGGTTGAGTGACACTGTCACTGTTTGCTTAGCGACGGAGACTTGTGTCACTGTGCCGAGGGTCCCTGCGAAAACACACTTGTGTGTAGCATGCTCTGTGCCCTTTCCATAATTGTGCGGTTCATTCGCTCTGCAATTCCGTTTTGCTGGGTCTGTATGGTACTGTACGCTGATGTATGATGCCGTTTCGCTGACATAACTTCGTAACTGTCTTGTTGACAAACTCCGTTCGTCCGAACTTAGGCACTTGATACGGATTCCCCATTGATTTTCATGCAATGCTTTGAACATTATGATCTTGTCGGCAAGTTCACTCTTTTTCACCAGAAAGTAAACCACCTCATATCGCGAATCATCATACACAAAAATCAAATTGTACTTAGCGCCTCCTTTCGAACGTGTTCTCATGGGTTCCATCACGTCAGTGTGAACTAATTTCAATACGCGTGACGTTTTTGTCATGAAGCGTCCTGAAAAAGCTACAATCAACTGCTTGCATTTCATGCATCCACCGCGCAAGGTCTTGATACCTTGTGTTAGCGCTGGCATACCTTCTGTGGATCGCAAAGTCTTCACTAATACATCCTCGATTGGGTGTCCCATACGGGCGTGACACAGCTCCCACTGACTGTCAGCTTCCGAGTATTGCACCGATCGTGCCCCTTCTTGCTGACAGTCCTGTGTGTAAGCTTTTCCGTTTCTTGTCCCAGATTCTAAAGCATAGTTCCTGTCCCAAATGGCGCAGGAAGCATGCTCAAACTCCACGCTTAGTCCACGTTCGGTAAGCTTCCCCACCGACAGTAAACATCAGTCAAGTCCAGGAATAGGCAGCACTTCCATCATCGATGTGCGTCTTCCGTCTAAGCCGATAAGCTTCACTGTTCCAGCCCCTTCGACGCATAATTTCCTGCCGTCTGCAATCGTCACCTTGATATCGGCTTTGAGTCGCTTAGAGTCGATCAAGTCACTTCGGTGAGGGGTCATTTGTGACGTCGCATCAATGTCGATCAGCCGGCTTGCTGATTGCTCCTTCCCCACAGCAATTACTGCATCATTAGCACTGAAACGGTTTCTGGAACGGCTCACAGCTCGACAGTCCCGCCTCAGGTGACCAATCTGGTCACAATTAAAGCTTTTGCCCCAAAAACCGCCGTCCTTGCATGGCACGTAATTCTCGCGACCTCTTCCTCGTCCGCCCTTGATCCGTCTGTCATCGTCTGTAGCAAGATTCTCACTTACTTACCGATCTTGTAGCCTGTCTGACTCCTTTAACAGATTCTCTTTAATTCGATTAAAGTGATGTTCTTGGCGTTCTCCACGATAGAAGAAATCATCTCATATTCGGCCGGCAAGTTGCTCAGAATTATCGCTAGCTGCCTTGATTCATCCACCAGTTCTCCCGTCGTCTGGAGTCTTACTACCAGCTCGTCGAACGCGTCCAGATGTTCCACCATGCGAGTGCCACTCGCCATCTTATACTCATAAATGCGACGTTTCATCGTGCCACGGTTGTGCAGAGTGGAGTGATTGTAGAAATCGTGAAGCGTTTATATGTCTCCAAGGCACGAGTAGCAGACCAAATCTTGGTCTGGTGCTGAATCTTGACGCCTTGGGCAGTTATACCCAATGCCTTGGCGTCATTCAGGAGTTATTTCGCTCATACCATTTGCGTCCATATCGTACCCCCGAATCCCTTTTCTTGCGAGGGCCATCCTCATGTTGAACTCCCAATGGTGGTAGTTATCATCTCCTAGGAGGACTTCGATGCGCTTAGTAATCATGGCGGTGAGTGTGTGGTGGAGCGAAGCTTTGTTTGCGGCTGTTAATTTGCTGAGAAAATGGCAAAAACCGAAGTGAATATATTAAGGTCCTTAGCTCGCTAACTCTGTGCTGCATCTAAGCCCGTTTTTCTAGGTCCTTCTAAAAACTTCTTCATGTAAACTTATCTATCGAGACCAATATACGACTACCAGTGTGTCCGTAATCAGCATTCGTAAACATGATTGTAATTGTAAACATCACCGCAATCCTTGTGACGTTATAAACATGCATTCAGCGGTTTAAACTTAACAGAAAATCGATATTCATGTGCTTGAACCCTAGGTGGGATCATGACTCACATAAGCTCAACAAAAAGACGTACGCGTAGCGCTTAGGGTCTTCGACCTAAAATCAATCCATGGTTAATTGTGTTCCAATCATGCCATTCAAGTATAAGGTCATGCCTTGAATCCGAATATCAGACTAAGCAACGTTCCATGCTATCGAAGTAAGAAAACACGACAGGTTTGTGGGCAGAGGCAGTAAGCACTACAATGCACCTGATTAACCGCTCTCCCAATACAGTGCACCCAAGCAATATTCCTTATGAGCTGGGTCTTAAGATGAAGCTTCGGATGGATCACCTTAGGATGTTTGGGTCTCATGGGTAGAGTGAAGATGACGAAGCTCGTGGCCGAAAGCTTTAAGTGCATGTTTCCTTGGGTGTTCCACTTGCGGTTGAGATACCAATCGATCTTCCTGTGCATCCAATGAAGGAGTTCTGTGCTCTGTCACTTCGTGTACTGAGGTCGGTAATCGAAGAACCTCGACCCTTGATTAATAAATGTCGCACTCCCCCTCACACATTGAATCATCTGGATTTTTTCTTCTTTACACTCCATGGGCTCATCTTGATCTTGTTGGTATTTTGTCGGCCCAAAAACTGCGCTTTCATCGTTGTTCTTGGTAACATGTATCAATTTTACTTGTTTAAGCGGGTGCGTCTCATAAATGCCGCCTACTTTACGTTTGTCCAAAGTTACCGACCGTGTTCCTGATATCTTGTCTTTCTCCAAATCGTAAACTCGGTAACTTGGTCGATGGGTATTACCAATTGCTCATGAGAGCGAGTGATATTCCGCTGACAG